GTGTCTCTCTCTCTCTCTCTCTCTCTCTCTCTCTCTCTCTCTGTGATTGCGTGTACTTGAAGAAAAGTACTAACATTAAATGCGATATATCATTCCACTACCTGCAAGAAGAAAGAAGAATAGCAATTGCAAATTAAATTTGAAATCGTAATTAATAAATCGATATAATATTACTTGATATCATTTGATATTTGATTGACATTATATTAGAAAAATATGAAAATTGCACGAGATGATTGCATGGAACCGCACAAAATATACTAAATAATTATTTTTAAAGTGCTAATCGAATATTAGTATTTTTTCAAAGTCATTAGATGATGTTTAATTTTTTAGAGACTACACAAGATTTTTTTACATGAAAATTTTGTTCTAGGAAAAAATACAAAAATTCTTGAATACTATGAATTTTGTAGAAATTGAAAAAATATGAGTAAGAGATAAAGATCAGTAAGAGCCAGTCTATTTACAATGTACAAATGTAATATTTTTAAATATATTTTTAATATTTTGAAATTAATGCATTTTCTCAGTCTACCACACTACGCGTTGATTATTTCGGTCTTGAAGCATAATTTTGTGAATTAAAATTCGAGATCATATCAAAATTTTCAAGATAATATCAAAATTTTATAATTTTTTTTTATAACAAGCTTTTTTTATAAATTTTTTGATATTTTAGGATATTTATTAACATAAGTAATATTACATCGATTTATTAATTATGATTTTTAACTTTAGTTTACGATTTCAAAATTGATAAATAATTTATGTGTAATTTACTGAGTTGAGAAGATGTATTAATTTCTTAGAAATATTGTAATGGCTCTTATTTTTATCTTTCACTTATTATTTAAATCTCAAGAGTCTTTATTTGTACTTATAAAAAAAAACATATACTTATAAAAGAGAAATAAGAAGGATAAAAACAAGGTCTAAGATGCGAGATATTTATATTAAGTAAATTAAAAATTGAATATCATAAACAAACAAACTGTATACAAACGTTTTGACCTACATGAGGTCATCATCAGTGTATCTCATAAACAATAGAAAATCATAATAAAATAATCTTATATGTACTGCGTATAATAAAATTAACAATATATCCAAAGGATAAACGAATATAATAACCAATATTGGAATCGCACGCGTCGCGCTTCAATTATACAATTATAAATTCATATAGAATCGCATGTGTAAGGAAAAATGAAACATCTCACTTCATTGTGGTTGCACATGTCATTCTCATGATGTTAAATTGGATGCTCGGTGTTCGTCATACTCGTCTACAAATTCCGCATATATCTCGATATAAGTTGATTACGTACGTACCCAGATGACTGAACCATGATGAATGTTGTGGAACGGCAGCACGCTTCACATTCTTTGACAAACTTTGATTTAGTGTTAGCGAAATGTCAAATATATGTAATATGTAATATTGAGTGTATTCTTTCTGCTGGTACTACTATTTTAATTTTAGTATATATAATATATATATATATATATATATATATATATATATATATATATATATATATATA